TGATAACCTTTCAGTCTCATGCACAGCTAAACAGAACTGTTTGAGACAGAAATGGCCTGTCTCACATCTTCAGGAAGACTGTTTTAGCTGCATGAAACTGAAACGCTGACTCCGCGTGTTTAGTCCTGACTCTGGGCACCAGCAGGAGACCGATCCCTGAGATCTTTAGATGGTTCATATGGCACTAACATGTCACAGATGTACTTTGGTGCTCGGCCATGGAGAGACTTGCACATAAGCAGAGCCACGTTAAAGTCTATTCTCTGAGCCACAGGAAGCCAATGCAGAGACCTGTACAAGACAGGACAACATTTATGCACACAGACACAACAAATAACACCATCTCTAACAGGGCTGGGTATCATTCAGAAGTTGTTGATACAATACTTACCTCGATATAGTGAGCTTTCGATTTGATATGATATATTTCACATAGCTTTGATACAGTTGAGTGAAAAAAAAGGCTAAATCATGGCTGTGATACTAAAAGTTTACTAAGTCTTCTAGGTTTGTGCAAAGTTAATATGAAAAACACCAATTTTACTCATCAAAACAGTGAAAATGTCAACACTTTTTTAGGTCTTACGCGAAATAATTTAGTAATATATACCAAAAATTACTCTTGGAGATATATCAATACAGCAGCCCATGATATTGACACTATACGATCTATCCATATTTCAATATTTTTGCACACCCCTAAATTCTAACCACTGCAGTAACCATAAATAAATAAATAAAGCTAAAAACACAATGTACAGTACAGTGAAGTTCAAGTCAGATCAAGTATTAGCAGCAGTAAAGTAATAAAAGGGAGTTTCTTATGTGGGTCTAGTGCAAATAGTAAATATTGCAAAAGGCATATAGTGGAAGGCTTAAAAATATATACACGAGTACATCAGTACAAATACCAGTGTACGCAGGCACTGGGGGTGAGGTGGGTTAAATGTCTTGCCTAAGGACACATCAACACTATTTATTTGTGAGAGCTAGAATTCAACCTACCAATCTTCAGATCAGTGGACAAACGTTTTACCAACTGAATTACTATCACCCAAGTAAACCAAGTAATGGAAACTAGTCCCCTTAACTTAAAATGGTAACTCTACCTGTTTGTCTCCATGGAGATATGTTCAGTGCTCCGTTCAGTTTCATTTCTCTCCAGCGACTAGGTCAGGAATCTGAATACACTAGTGCAAGAACCCCGGAAGTGCAAGTCCAGGCACCAGTCAATCAGCGAAGAGCCATATATTCTGTATTGGCAATGATTCCTGAGATTGAGGATTTAAAGCTGGAACAAAGAGAATGTTTGATGAATTTTATCAAGGGGAAAGATGTTATTGCCCTTCTTCCTATGGGATTTGGGAAAACTTAATATACCAGTTAGCCCTGATAGCGGCGCATTACATACATCACAACCAAACAGCAGTGATTGGTTAAATAAAAAAAATACCTCAAGCAAAACAGGACTACAGGCACTCTAAAGAAGTAAAAAGAGTAAAAATAAAATCGCACGAGGAATAATATAGTAAAAGGCCTTTATTTAAATGGCCAAAGCCAACATGTTTCGACCTTAACTGGTCTTCATCAGGGCTTAACTGAAAAAAAAAAAACCTGCCTACCATCGAGCAAATGAATTCTAATGCTGTGAGGTCAAATGGTTTCCATGAAGTGAAACCGGCTGATGAATCAGGCTAATATAGAGCACCTTGAAGACCCCAAAGGCCTGGCCCATACGACAGGTGCTGCTCGCTCTGACAACACACGTTCACAGGGGGTTAATGCAGGAACATGTATAGAGACATGGAGCTGTGGACACACGTTTCTTCTGTTGATTAAAACAGTGCAGAGAATCTAAGTGTTTAATTAAAGCCCTCATCAGCCCAGAGTAAAGGTCAGCATGCATATGGACCCCAGGAAGAGTCCAATCAAGCACGTCTTTTCTCAGTAAATTACAGTAAATCTACCCTACACAATACACCTAACCTTATAATCTAATGCTATTGTTGTGGTAGTGTTTATACAGCTACATGAGGTACTCTGATTTACAGGGCCCATGCTATCATTTTCTGATCTATGTTATAATGTTGTTTCCTCACCACAAACATACCCATAACACACAAACCCTGCATATTTAGACTGAATTATTCTCTCAAAAAGAAAACACTCTGTTTAGAACATTTTCCTCTGATGGTGTTTTGTTTCTGGCACAAAATAAGCCTGCATAATTAGCTTTTTTCTGAGATGTATATTTTCTTTTGCTCTGATCATTTAAGATTTTCATGGTTAAAACTAATCCAGTAGTTCTTGTAGTCTTTCCTAAATGCAAAAAAAATCTGATATGAAAATTTGAACTCAAAAGATGACAGTATATTTCACATGAGAATATGCTATTATGGTTTTGATTACAGTCATTAAAACAAAAAAAAAAACAAAACAAAAAAAACATCTCTTTTGTTTTTGCATCTTTGAAAGGAGTTTGATGAAATAAAACTCAATGGTGCCCTCGTGTGGTTCAATTGACAACTGCAGCTTCTTTCTTCTTTTCCACAAAAGAATACAGTGCTGCTTGGGATATTATGAACACAACAGTGAGTTTAATTCATGAAAGGGGTTTATTAAAAGTCCTATATGGAAAATTGACTCTTGTGAGCTTTAAGCTGTTTTATAATGTTCTTACCTCATCAAAAACATACCTGGAGTTGTGTTTTGTTTCATTCATGTTTGAAGAACCTTTATTATTAGTCTGTCTACATCTCCAGAAGCTATTTTCTGATTTATATTATAATGTTTCCTCATCACAAACATACCTGGAGTTGTGTTTTGTTTCGTTCATACATGCTTAGTGGTCCATTGTGTTTTTAAACTCCATACTCCATGAGCCATTTGAATAATTTCAGCCGTGAAAGGAATGTAGCGATATCCAAATGTCTCGGTACAATTTGATCACGATATACATCTCACGGTACGATATTTATTGTGTTATTTTGAAGAGGCTGATACAATTGTAGATAGAACACGTTTCTGCTTTTAAAATACCTTGACAAGAGTTTGGTGTGAATTATTTCCGTCATAATCTGAAGAATTAAAGTAAAAAACATATTTCTTCATCTTGTCTGCACTGAAATGAATCATGGGAGATGTAGTTCTTCATGTTTATAAGGTGTTGCTACTATAAAACCATGGATTTAAGCAAAGAAACTTGTGATTCAATATATTGTGACAGCCCACGATATTGTTGTGAGACTCTTGACGATACGATATCATGATATTTCGGTTATTGTTACATCCCTAATCTCTAAAACTAAACTAAAGGCAAAAAGTAACTTGAAAACTACCACATTCTGAGCTCAAACACAACTCAGGTTTGTTTTTGAGGAGGTAACAACATTATAACACGACTTAATGCTCACAAGAATTAATTTTCCATAATATAGGACTTTTAATTAGTGAATAATTCAATTGACTGACCTAAACCAGTTGGCCGAGTGTGTCCTCACTGAACTCAGATCAACTTGATTTGAATTCACCCTGCTGTCTTTGTAAGCGTCTCCGGACTTCGCTGAGTGCTACGTGGGAGTGAATGGCAGTCCTCCAATCCCAATACAAAAACACAAACTATAAATAACGCCATAAAACTCACCCGGCGCCTCTGAAGGATTAATTCATTTGACTTTGTGATGTATGACTTTGAGGATTTAACACCAGATTGGAGTCCATAGTTTTACAAATAAGACTTAGCAACCATAGCATAATGAAGAAGTCATTACACGCAGGAGGAAACAGAAAATATTTAATTAGAGACTGTAAAATACACTTTCCAAGGGCGCTCAGATGAAACATATTAAAAACCTGATCAAGATTACAAGAGAAAAATTTAATAAAATACATAGTACAAAATTATATAAAATAACTTCACAAATCCAGGTTTAAATATGCACATACAAAACAACGATCTGCCATAAAATTATAATTACAAAAGCAACAACAATTCCTTCATTATTATTCTAGCCATCTAAATTATCCTGGGTAAACTTCATTTTAACTTCAGAACTGATTTTATCCTTTCTAAAACATACGGAAATAAATACCATCTGTACTTTCGAGATCTTATAAAACAATTATAGGGTCTAGTTTAAGTGTTTTAATCCCATATCCTTGTCACAATCAGACTTGGTGCTGTTCCCTCTCTGGTTTACATCGTTTGCGGTAATTCATCAAGCTCCTCCATGTTTTTAAAGTCCATACACCAATTTGTCAAACTACCATCACTATACATGCACTATGTTTGTGCGTTTAAAACAAGACGGCATTGTTGTCAATGTTGAGATAGTCTGAATTTTAGTGGTTATATAAAAAAATCTTTCTACTTCACTTACTTTTACCTTCAGTTTTACCCACATTTTTACCTCCAAATACACAAAAAACTTCAACAATCTATCTCTTCATCAATTATTTGCAATCTTCTTCACTGCAACAGTAAAGTCAAGGTAAGTTCAAATAACTTGAGTTAAGAATAAATTGTATTAACTAGATTTTTTAAAATAATAAACTTTACTGAAATATTTTGTCTTTCTACAAGCAAAATAATAAAATAACCCCTTTTGGGATTATAAATGATGACTTATTATGTAAACTTGAATTAAATGCTGATAAAACCCAAAACATTTTAAAAGTGCACTATGTAACTTTTCTAGTGGAGTGTTTGCCACCTGCTTGTCCACAAGGTAACACAAGTTTTTCAAGGTGTTTTGAGCAATGAAACACTTGAAACTGAATAAATAAATAGGTTAAATACTGTGGAACATTACAGGTAAAGCAACACCACCAGAAAAGTTACATACAGCACCTACATACTGCCTATAGGCTAAATGAAATCTTACCGAGACTTTGCTGTTACAGTGTAATCCAATAATGACAGAACATGAGCCTGTACTTCTAAAAGAGGTTTGCTCTTCGCTTTAGTATCTGTACTCGAGTACTCCATAGTCCACAGGAGCCTAGTAATGACTGTACGGTGAAGTCTCCTTCAGCTCGTGGTAGCCCTGGTGCTTAGACTCTGTGGACAGACAGAGAGGGCAGTTAGATTTACACCCTCCCAGTGCACGACAAAGGCTCGTTTAGAATTATATACACATACAGTAATATCTTTTAAAATCAGAAAATAAGGTAATAAATCAATAAAAAATTTACATCTACAGTATTTAAAGGCACAGTATGTAACTTTCTGGAGTTCACCTGCATGATCCCATGGAAACAGAAAGTTAAAACCGTACTTTCAATTTATACGTGTGGAATATTGTAACATTTCCATGGAAGCAAGCAGGAGGAGTAGAGTCAGGTTTGTGGGGATGCAAGCCCATTCACAAATAAGGGTGCATATTTTTTTATACGCAATTCAGTGCCAAAATAAAAATGAATATACCACGCTTCTATTTTAGCGTATTTTTGACCTAAATAGTTACATACTGAGGCTTTAAGATAAATAAATCCTCATAATTTTTACTTACCCAGTTCTTACTTTTTGCAGTGTAGCAATATATATGTTTTAGCCAAGTATTTCAACTTTAATATTTGTGAATTCATTCATTTTAAACTATAACTACATTAGTGAAACAATTGCACAGGCACAGAACTAACCCTGCTTTCACGTTATTATTTTCTGCACGTCCCAAATGATGTAGGTAAAGATAGCCACTAGCAGGATGCGTTTGAGAGTGTAGACAAGTGCTGTAGTACCCAGGCTCATATTCTGCTCCACCAGGGGGCGCTGTTCACTGCAGTTCACCACTCTGCCCTGCGCCGCTCCCAGGATCGTCATGATATCCACCAGGTCCAGTTTCCCCTCCTCTTTAGCCTCCTGCACCTCCTGCGCCAACTCCATCGCCGCCTCCTCCCTCTCCTCCAACTCCTCTTGGGTCAGCATCGCGTTTATCCCTTGACCCGCTGTTGCATTCCCGACCTGTGGCGGCGCCAGCGAGCACAGGGCCCTCACTTGCCCGTACGACTTCAGGTGAGCAACGTTGGCGCGCAAAAACAACATCAGCACGTTCAGATCATTCAAAGCGCACCCCAGTTTGCGTTGATTCATGATATCCAAAGCGGGGAGGACTTGGTAGACTGACAGAAAACGTAGTGTCCCAAACGAATAAGCGAACCAAGCTAAAGACGACGATCGGCCCGAGCAGGACGTAGACAGCGCCGTTCGCCACGCTGATCACCTGAAAGACCAACTGTCCGATCATTTTGCACTGCACGAGCTCGGGAATCCAGTTTTGATCTCGAAGCATCCCGGTACGCACGAAACAGCTGAATTCGTCTTGCAAGAAGGCGGAGAGGTGGAAGTACGCGAGGTACAAACAGGCGGCCGTCATAAAGGTTAGCAGGAGGAATCCGCGCAGAAACAGCATGCTGACCAGGAAGTAGGACTGCTGTTTGCATCGCATGTAGCGCTCCAGCAACGGGTATTCAAAGTAGCGCTTCTTCTTGGCCCTGTAATTTAAGCAAGAAAAATACAAAGTTAGCGAGGCCTCCCAGAGCGGCCGCATGGTTCTACTTTGGGATTTAAATGACACCCACACATAAGACAGAACTTCACAGAGATGTTAGAGGAGATGAAAGAGTGTACTGACGGAGAGAACTACAACTTTCACACACTATAGTTTAGGAGTCATAGGAGTGGGTGGTTACATGATGTTCTTCCGACATGCCGCTATTTAGACACTGACGTCTAAGGCTAGATTCAGACTACAGGGCTTAATGCTCAATTCGGATTTTTTTTGTGAAATCTGATTTTTTTGCGAGATCGTTCACATTTCCAAATAAATGCGACTTGTATGTGATCTCCAGTGCGAACTTTAAACTCTCCAAAAGTGTCCTGCATGTGCACTGGAGGACACGACAATGTCACATGCAGCGAGAGTGCTCAGTGTTTACAGAAGTCACCTAAACGCTGAACTTGTTTCCCAAAATACAGTCCAGTTCTTCGTAAAATGGACAGGTTACAGGTCCATTTTACAGAAGTCGCTTAAACACTGAGCTTGTTTCCCAAAATACAGTTTACTTCTTCGTAAAATGGACAGGTTACAGGTCCATTTTGTTTGTTTGAGACTTTAGCCTCTCCTTATATTTAGGTCACAGGCTCTTTATTTTTTGTTGACGTTGGAACCAGGACGCCTGTAGCCGCGCTCGGCCATTTCTTGGTCAATCATTTCAAAAAACGCCTGGTTCCGATAAAACCCCTCCAATTTGGCCTGAACACAGCAATCCCCCTAATATTAATAAACTCGCTAACCTCGCTTTACCTCCATTGACTAGACTCCGAGCTTCATGTGTAGGTGGGATGAATGTGACCTGACCGTTCAGACTGAAGTCGCATGTCAAAAGATCGGATATGTATCGGTTTTAGGAGCACATATCCAAGTGGTGGATCTGTGTCGCTCCCACTGTCATTAAAAGATCAGATACAGGTGCATAGGGGCCAAAAAATCGGATTTGGGTCACTTCAGGCTGCAGTGTGAATGTAGTCTTATTGTCAGAGTAGCGGCATAAACATTATTTTTCAAGCGTCCCACTACTTCAACTTTTTTTTTTCATTGTCGGAGTAGCGGCACTTTATTATTTTTCAAACATTCCGCTTTTCCGACATGAATAATATTAATGTAATGCCTATTATACTTTGCACTCCCATATGTCATAAGAGGCTTGGGCTGTTTCAAAGCACTTGATTAGAGAATACTTCGGCCACACAGGACATGAGACAGAGGGAAAATGTCCTAATTGATCGCTGTGGAAAACAGTCATGCATTTTAAAAGAGAATAGGCCAGCCTTCTGGAAAATATCTCCTCTAAAATGGAGGCTGCATGGGTCCTTTGTGCTTCATTCATTTCATCATGTCAGAATAGTCATACTAAAAGGTAATACCGTAATACCGGCAAGTCTAAATAGAGACATGTCGTAATGAAGGGATGTCGGAATAGGCGGTTTGCGTGTGACTCAGTTTAAAGTTTAATTAGAAAATAAGTTACACTGAGTGAGAAAAGCAAATAAACAGCAAAAGTAATGTAAAATGTTATTGTAGGTTCAGTTCAGCTATGTTTTGTTTCATTATGCAATATGTGTTATGATATGCATCTCATGGTAGAATATTTATTGTGATATTTTGAAAAGGCTGATATAATTGTAGATGGGACACTTTTTTTGCTTTTAAAATACCCTGGCAAGATTTTGGTGTGAATTATTTTCATCATAATCACAAGAATTCAAGTAAAAAACATATTTCTTCATGTTGTCTGCACTGAAATGAATCATGGGATACGTAGTTCCCTATGTTTATATGACACTTTTGACTATACAGTATCACAATATTTCGGTTATTGTTACATCCCTAATTCTGGTACAGTTTTTTTTTTTTTTTTTTTACACTTTTTCATTTGGTGGTGTTTAAAATTCAGGAATACATTACGGTATTTGATCATGTAATTTCAAAGTGCACATAACTAGTGAAAAACACTACACACAGCTCTTGAGGTGAGTGCACTTTTGATTTTTATTTCTCCAACTAGTGAGAGAAAATGCTTATTAAACAGTAAAACTAATATAAATTTGTTTTTTAATCCTATGTTGAATTTTTACTCTGAATGCACGATGTAACCGAATACATTTTAATGCAGGTATGCAGTACTCTGTAACTAAATATATTTTCAAAGTATTCTTCCGACTGCCCATAGCGTTGTAGTTTTCCAGAGTGCTGTACCTGTCAAGCTCAGCCTGGAAAGTGAGTGGGTTCTTGGTGTTCTGGCGCAGCTCCAGGATGTTCTGCGCCAGGCGGATGGAGCGGTTGTAGGATTTGTCCAGTTCGTCCATGATGAAGAGCAGGTCTGACCCGAGAGAGGGCATCACCAGCTGCCTCCAGATCAGAGCCGGCAGGTACATGAGCACGGCCATGGCCAGAAGGGAGTAAGGGAACATCTGGGGAGAAGAAGAGGAGGGGAAGAGGAGGAGAGGAGATATGAGATTTGACAAGATTGTATCTCAACAATCACAGTTTTCATTTATTCAGATGTTGCATGGTGATGTAGGGTAAAGTTACAACTAGGGCGGTGGAATTCATCAAATTTTAATCATGTTTTTCTCATATGGCTTTGCCCTAACAAGAACAAGATTTGTACCAGCTATGTATTTCACTTCTGGAAAACATTTGTTACCATAGAAATTAACAATACGAAACAGTGAAATCTCAAAATGGCATCCAAAACAGGAAAAAAACTAAACTAAACAAAACAAGAACTTACATATCCATAGAAAACGATTGATCAAATATTACAATAAAATTGTATATACTAGGTAGAATCGTATATATATTTTCTTTGGCTTACTGCATTTAAAAGTCCTATATTACGCAATATTGATTCTGTACCTGGAGTTGTGTTTTGTTTCATTCACATATGGAGGGATACTGCAGCCAAGAGGTTAAAAACTGTTTTTTAATCAGCTACGGAACATCACTAAGCTCAGACCAGTTTTATCAAATGCTGGTCTTGAAATGATTGTTCACTCTTTTATTTCATCTCATTTAGTTTTTTGTAATTCTCTTTTTACTTGTTTTAATGCGTCTAACTTAAGTGGCTAGACTGTCGGTTTTACTTCGTTTTATTTCGTACAAACTGTCTGACCTCTCAGCCTTAGAATTCCTTTCCTCGTTGGTAGGCGGGTACTTTTTATCATTTAACCAATCGCTGCTATTTGGTTGTGACGTATGTAAAGCGCTGCTAACGGGGCTAACTGGTATATTAAGCTTTTCCCAAATCCTGTAGGAAGAAGGGCAATAATGTCTTTCTCCTTGATAAAATTCACCAAACATTCTCTTTGTTCTGGCTTTAAATCCTCAACCTCGAGAATCGCTGACAACACAGAATGTATTGCTCTTCGCTGATTGGATGGTACCCGAACTCGCACTTTCGGGGTTTTGCAAACCATCTAGTGTATTTTGATTCCTGACCTAGTCGCTGGAGAGAAATTAAATTGAGCAGAGGCACTAGGTGGCACCAGCCTGGCTAGGAGTTTTGAGGTCCAGGTACATAATTTTGAAGTCAAGTTGGATGGTCACATTAAAAATAGTTTGCAGTGTTTTGTTAATTTCTGTCAAAAATGTATGAACCACATAACAAGCCCAAAACACATGGCAGTGGTGGACCTCTTGGCAGCCACAGTTTGTCCAACACCCTGTATTTCCCTGTGAATAATGGGCACTTTGGTGAAGTGGTAGTTTTCAAGTTACACAACAGATTCCTTTTACCATTTGGCAATTCCAGGACTGAAATAATCCAGATGAATGTAACAGTGTGTGGAGTTTAAAAACACACTGGAGCACTTCCTGTATTACCACATGACATCACAGGGAGTGTTTCCAGTTTGAAATAAAAACTCAGCTTAAATATGCAGGATTTGTCTGTCAAACATATGTGAATGAAACAAAACACAACTCCAGGTATGTTTCTGATGAGGATTCAACACGATAAAAGTGAAAAAATGCATAGCACACTCAGATGGCCGATGTCCAAAAGCTTTTTTTTTTAACTTTTAAATAACGTTTCGGCCTCGTCAGATATTTTTCTTGCTTTGGACCACAGTATGACCGATAATTTTTTCACTTTTATTTTGCTGTTCCTTGCATTTGCACCTTTACAAGAACTTTGGTGTTTGGCGCGTGCGTTTTCTTTTTCATTTGATTCAACACTATAACATACAGAAAATCGCGTTATATAGGACCTTTAAATATGAAAACCAATGTCACATCACTTTTCAGATCAAACATTTCCTATTCTTCAGTTCAACTTCCTTTTATAGGTGACATTTTGAGGACTTTTCACCATCAAAAGGTATCATATTTCTCTTTAATTTTTCATCGCTGTGGACCCCATGGATATACAGTAACCTCCTCTGATCATGTTTAAAGCAGGAAGAGCCTGAGATCAGAGGCCCCCCACTCACTTTCTGCACCCACAGCCCCTTACCGCACACACTTTGAAAAAACTTTACAAAGACGAGCAGATCTGGAGCCTGTGCCCTTGATTTCAGAGGGCGTGATTGACGGGCGGGTTAACCAATCAGAGAGACGCACGCTCAGACACAAACACGGGTGCTTGTTGTAAAAACAGGAGAAAAATCTACACGATGGACGGAGAAATAGTGCCGATTTTTACAGAATGAACAATCGAAGCACCAAACTTTTACTTATCTCAGGTAAAAGAAGTTATGTATTTTGTTCTGAATATTATGTGAATTTTCCAGAAATGTCTTCAACTTTTGAGAGCCACATGAGGCAAATTAGCAGCTGTGGTTGGATCATTTAAAAATGTTTAAGTTTCATCATTTTTACGTTCTATGGTCCAGTTCAAGTCCCTTCTGGATTCAAGCACAAAGTAGAAGGGACTGGGCGGTCAGGAAACACAACCCCAGACCCACTCACTCACTTTGTGCACCCACAGCGAGCGCTCCTCAAAGTTCCCGTCGCTGTCAAACTCGTGATGCATGAGGGAGTCCCAGCAGTAGGTGTCCACGTACGCCGCCTGTTTGATGGTGAAGTTACTGGGCGGGAAGCAGCTGATCTGAGGGCCTGGAAGTACACAAGAAGAGGGAGAGAGGGAGGAGAGGAGGAGAGAAGGAGGTGCTGTTAGATATTAAAAGCATGGATTTTCAGTGTGATAGAAAGAGAAAAACTACTAGAAATGTATTGATATGTAAACAGGGATTCTTAAAAGGCCTGTATTTGATGTTTTCCCAATGTATTTGAGCAAAATTTGTGTTGCCTCAGTACAGATATATCGCATAAGCTGCTCTTGACGTCAAAATGAGACCACTGTGTGCTCCTCTCTGGTCTCTGGTCTTTGTGAAAAGTGCAAATAAACTCATTGCGGTGAGTAATTGGTAAACTCGACATGCATAAGGTAAGTGGGGAATAACTTTGGACCACTGGAATCTGTGTCACAACCTGAAGTAGCACCTGCACACACCAAAGCTTTTAATCTTTTGGACAGATTGTATTGAAGGATTTGTTGCACTGGGAAAAAACAACATTTTATGTAAGTTAAAAAGATTAAATTTAGAACATTTGACTTTATTTGAGTAGATTCAACTTGACAAGTAAAATGATCTACCAGTGGAATCAGTGAGTTTTGTTTTAATTCAAGCAACATTCGATTTGATGTCTTATTTTAAGTGCAAAAAAGTTGTTATTTTTCTTATTTTAAGTGTAGTAAGATGTATTTTCATATTTTAAGTACAAAAATCTTATTCCACTGGCAGATAATTTTACTTGTCAAGTGAAATTTACTCAAATCATGATAAAACTTTCTTAATTCAAGTCATCTTAACTTGACTAGATTTAGTTTTTGCTGTGTGATTGCATTGCATGCATTGCAAATTTCTCTGATGTGGCCAAGATTTTAACTTATATCAGGTTATTCATCTTGTTTTCAGATTTATTATCTAAGCAGTTCTGAGACTGCTTAATTCTAGTCTAGAGGTAGTTTATTTTAAGATAACTTGTCAAGTAAAATGATTTTGCAGCATGGAAAATTTCACTACTTTAAGTAATTTTCAGATAAATTTAAGTGTTTATATCTTACATTTTGGCCAAGTTTTTGTTTTTGCAGTGTGCAACTTTCAAAAATTAGGCTAAATGTTTATTTATTTATTTATTTTGGCAATTTGTGGTTAAGTCTCACTTAATCAAAAACTAAATAAGATATCCAAAATCCACTCTGTAAATCATTTTCACCTCTCTACAGATCTGACCTTTATTCTTGGTGATACAGTTACATCGTGCACATTTAAACAGGCATTGGGGACAGTGGCTTAGTGGTTTGAGCGTTGCCTACAAAACCACATCTGGGTGGTTATTTTTGTCTTTACATACGTTACTGGTTTTAAATCATGGTGCTGTGGTAACACCAGAGGAGGGGACTTGCAAGTTGTGACTTGGACTCGAGTCAGACTTGAGTCACTATTTTTAGGATTTGAGACTTGACTTGATAAAATGGACTAAGACTTGGGACTCGACTTGGACTTGAAGGTCAGTGACTTGGGACTTGACTTGAGAAGACTTGATGCTTCTCCTAAAAAAAATATCTGTTTTTAGAAAATACCTTTCTGTTTTCTCAGTTGAAAAATGCAGTGCTTAATTTTACAGGAACAAACTAAAACATGTTCCTCCCACTTCTGTTTGTTATTTTTATGTAATTGAAGTACTGTGATGTGGTATCCTCAAATGTACTACAGTAATATACAGTACAACACAGTAAAACAGAGGGAACTACACAGAACACAAACCTTCCATTTTAGTGCAGACTACATGACAAAGTAACCAATATTAGCGCACTTTTAAATCTGAATTGTTTCTATTCTGACCGAAATGATTCACACTAAGATCTTGTCAAGACAATTATAAAGGAAAAATTCTACAACTCTTATATAAATACTCATAGATAAATATACCATGACTTTTTAAGTACATTTTAGTTTAAAAGTCACAGAAATTGCGAAAACCAAAGCTATATTTGGTTCTGTGGTTTAAAGACTGGAAATGACTTGAAGCTTAAAGCAGACGACTTGGACTTGACTTGGACTTATGGGCCAGTGACTTGAGACTCTGCTTGGACTTGTTTGTCTTTGACTTGGGACTTGACTCGGACTTGAGGTCAAAGACTTGAGACTTACTTGAGACTTGCAAAAGAACGACTTGGTCCCACCTCTGGGTAACACTGTACACTGAAATATCACAAAATCAGTATTTTACAGCAATATTTTATAGTTTTTTTGTTTTTTTTAGTTTTAAAGATTTTTAGCTCTTGCTTAAAAATCTGAGAACTACATGCACACGCCTTCACTTCTCTCAACATTTCACTGCACAAATCATAGGCTTCTTCAGTTCCAGCAGCTCCACATTTGGCCGATCCCACCCATCGACTGTACAGAACCTCATATTTACTCCACCTTGTTGTCACCACATGTCCTGCTTCCTCGTACGCCTTCATTACCATGTTCCTCCACCCTTCACAGAGCAGAGCAGAGGAGGGTGTGCCCCAGATACTCCACAGTGTCTAAACTTAACAGCCATCTCCACATCTGTCCTGCTGCTCGAATGGAAAGTCACTGCCCGTAATTCAACCCTGGGATGTGTTTAAGTGGATATATTACAGGCTGCAGGGCTGAAATAGGCCTGTCCCAATGTCATTAATCAGAGTAGTAAGTATAAGGTGGATATAAGAAGGACATGTCTGAGTAAATACAGTGAGTGTACGGTAATGTTGTTTTACTTACTGAACATATACCATAAAACAGTGGGGGGGTTTGGAACATGGGTGGTGCAGACCTCTGCCAAGGCACTGAGATTTGAGAGTTGTCCTGTAGTACCCTGGTATATACCGAAATCCTTATTTGTGTCGATGGAAATAGAAAGTTAAAACTATACTTCAGAACATTCTCTTTTGAGATATATGTTTTATGTCCTGTAGACCAGGGTTCTCCAACCTGTAGCTCGGGAGCTCCACTCCTTTCCAAGTAACTCGCCAAGGGATTTCTGAATTACATGTATTGTGCTGGATAAGTAAAATTTGATGAATGAAATGGCTTTTACCATTGTACATGTATCATTTTGATTCCTAATTTTGTACACTAATAAATGGATAATGGTTTATGTTTAATAGGCATCTAACTGTACCTCATCTAAGGCTCGCCATGGCTCCTATATATGCTCAACTTCTCGTGACCGTTAAAACTAGTAGCTCTGGCATTTTCGTTTTGTAAAAGTAGCTCATCGGAGGAAAAAGGTTGGAGACTCCTGCTGTAGACATTATAGTCCAAGGAACAAAATGAAAACAAACAGGAGTCCCTCATCCAGGTCAAGTAAGAGTTTGTAGACATGCAAGCCCACTCACAGCTAGGACACATGTTTTGTAGCGCAATAAAAACATCAAAAATGACAAGAAAAAATAAAAATAAAAATAAACTAGAAAAGCACTCAGAGAGCGCAGACCTCCGCCAAGGACTACCCCCATTTTTTATATAAATTGTGATAAAATCAGTCTTCTGGATCAGATCCGGATCAGCCTTTGGAATATGAAAGAGGATCCCATTGTCCATCCCTGAGTCAAATTTCATGGGGTTTGGTCAATAATTAACCGAGATATTGAGAAACAAAATTTTTGGCCCCATTTACCACAATGTTAACTAAAATTTCAAAGTGATCCAGAATCCAGGATTTCTTCCGGATCACCCCCAAAATGAAATCAGTTCTTCCTTTTCACATTTCCAACAAATCCTGAAAATTTCATCAAAATTGGTCCATAACTTTTTGAGTTATGTTGCTAACAGACAAACAAACAAACAAACAAACAAACAAACAGACAAACGCCGGCAAAAACATAACCTCCTTGGCGGAGGTAAAAAGCTTTTACTTTAAAGACCCTATATTACACATAATAGACTCTTGTGAGCTTTAAGTCATGTTAGAATGCTGTTACCTCCTTAAAAACATACAAAGAGTTGTTTGAGTAACTCTTTATTATTAGTCTGTCTACATCTCTAAAGCTCAAAATGCTCTGTTCCACCTTGTGATGTCATGAAGTGATAGTTTTCAAGCTAACAGCCACCCTTTATTTTTCGGGTTAGCAGGATTTCAGTAGAAATTGGTACTTCCAGGGCTGAAATTTGTTTTTAAACTCCACAGTGGAGCGTTTCCTTGATGGTTCATTTTTAGCTTTTTGCATTTTAACACTTTTTATTTATTTTTTATTTATTTAAAAAAATATATGATTTACTGTCTTTTATTGTATTAATTTGTCTGTGCAGTCCTTTGGTAACTGCCATGTTTATAAAATGTGCTATAGAAATAAATAAAGTGGATTGGATTCCTGTATTACCACATGACATCACAAGGTGGAACAGAGTGTTTTCTGTTTGAGAGAAGCCTAAAAATGAAGTGCTTGTGTGTTAAACATGTGTGAATGAAACAAAACAAAACTCCAGGCATGTTTAAGATGAGGAAACAAGAAAATAGCTTAAAATGGACCTTAGAATTAGGGATGTAAGGCTATCCAACTCTGTCGGAACGATATTATCACGACATGCATCTCACGGTACAATATTTGTTGCGATATTTTGGAGAGGGTAATATAATTGCAGATGTTGATTGATTGATTGATAGCATTTATATAGCGCCTTTCCAAATACCCAAAGCGCTTTACAGTTCATTATTCAGTCACTCCACACTCATGTGACACTTTTGTTATTTTAAAATACCTTGACAAGATTTTGGTGTGAATTATTTCCATCATAATCCCAAGAATTCAAGTAAAAAACACATCTCTTTGTGTTCTTTGCACTGAAATGAATCATGGGAGATGTAGTTTCTTATGTTCATAAGCTGCTGCTACTGTAAATGCATTTAAGCAAAGGAACTTGTAATTTGATATATTGTGACAGCCCACGATATTATTGTGAGACTATACGATATCACGATATTTCGGTTATTGTTACATCCATACTTAAAATAAATGTTTTGGCTAAATTACGCTGTGTTTTTTAGAACTGAAATCGAATTATACTTGCTATAGGGAAACATAGATGTACATTTTCATTTATCGTCACTGCCAAAATCATTACGTTCAACGAAATAAAATAGGTAAGAGCGACTAAAGCCAACTTCATGAACGTCACAGCGAAATCTCTGCTCAGATTCTATAGTTTCTGCCAAGAGAAGGACTGAGACTCGTGCTTTTTTTTCCAGGAATACATGGGCTGGGTGTTTGTGAAGAACATCAAAAGCATCATTTTTATTTCACAGCTCCGTGTATTTATAGCTGCATACATCTTATTGAAAGGTGAGATTTTGTGGGAACACTTGGCAGTTCTTCACATGTGCTCCAAGAAATCTCTCCTATTCAGACTGCACTCAATCTGGACTCACTGTCATTAGAACGAGGATTCATACAGAAAGTTTGTGTGTCCTTGCTAAAAATAATATCTTTTATGTTAAAACTTTGTAAATAAATGACGCTCTTATCTCGTCTGAATGCTTTTGGGGCAAGTATTAAGCTTTCCGCTCTGCTTATGTAAAACTGTGTGGGTGTGTGTATTGACAAGTCTTAAATAGAAAACCGAAGCACATCTTTTCAGCATCCTCATTTGTACAACTGCTTATCTGCGCTCACATAACATCATAACGTTCTTTAAATTTAAGGTAAAATGTAGATAAGATTGTTATGGTACTGTTTAAGGTGAACCGTGTAACTTTTTAGGTGAACAACTTCATTTTTAGATTTTATTGCTTTACCTGGATTTTTCCACACTTAATTAAACTTATCTTCAAAGAGACAAGAACGACACACCATAGCAAGTTGAAGGTTGGATCTGTGGAGAGGCGAGTCAGCTCAAAGTATAGCATTTTCTGGAATCTTCCATAGTATAACATTATATCTTGCATTTGTTACTTTTTTTTTTTTTTTAAGAGAGAAAAAAAAAAAGAAAAAAGAGAAAAATATATACATTCAAATTGTAAACTGGCAAACTTCTCTAATGCCATAGCCAACTGTGAGACTGTTCAGGTAAAGCAATGAAATCTTCATGGAGACAAGAAGACGATGGACTCTCAAAAACACCAGAAACATCAGAAAAAATACATAAAGCACCTTTAAATATTACGTTGTTTCCAATCTCATCATCTCTGACACTTAGAACTACATCTCCCCTACACCTCACTCCACAATCAACATTGGCAAATAGCAAAATCATTTTATTTGCAGTGACATCATGCCGGGGGTGTTCTACATTAGTTTCAGATAACCTCGATTAGAATCCTGCATTAGGTTTTAGCATCCAAAAGATGATTTAGGAAGAAATTTGGAAGAAAAAGGAGATGTTTTAGAGGTTGCTCAAGCTGCATGAAGTTTTGAAGCTCCTAAAATGATTTGGTTTTCCTTAAGAAGCTGTCACAGTCTGAAAATTCAGTTGTCAAGAAAGCAGCCTTATCAGCTTTTGGCCGACATCTTTGGTACTTGAGTGAAGAAATGGTTGGCCTGGCGTTCTTCGACTCCAGTGTGACAGAAGAACAGAAGAAGCTGATAGTTCACAATATTACGGAAAAGGAAGGTTCAGAGAGCGACGTGACGCCCTTAATCAAGCAGATTATGAAGGGAAGCAGATCAGTGATTTTTGTCTCCAGATGCACGATGCTTTTCTTTGAAGCTCTTGATCTGCCAAAAACATTTTTAACAATTCCCCCAGCAGCAGCCCGGGCTGATGATGCAGATTTTCAGAACGAGCTAAAATTGTGCAGTCCAGGAAAGTTGTCAGTGATGTTGGTAAAAGGGGAGTGGAGCTTTTTCACGATTTTAACTGTAGCCTAACAAAGAATGAAGATCAGAAACAGAATCTGCTGCAAGTTGTCAAAGAGCACACAGGCACGTCTTTTGTGACGCCAACAAAGCCACAGTGGAGCTGGACTTTCTAAGTAACTTTTTATGGACTTTATAAGCAACATTTATGGACTTTGTAAGTAATTTTTCTGCAAGTTTAAGTTTGTGTTTACAGAATAAAATGACAAATTATTCGAATATGCCTTATTTATTTGGTTTGGTATGTTATAGTATAGGCCAGTGTTTCCCAAACTTTTTTTCTGGGGACCCAGTTTTTAAAAGTCACAAACCTTCTCCGACCCAATTCAATAGACAATATTAGTAAATCACAAAATAAAGGTGGATTTGACCATTATTGAAGATTAATGAGGATATTTTATTGTTGATTGAGTGATTGTGTCTCTCTGAACAATTAGTCTTGCTCAAGTTTTAAACAATGAAAAACAGTAATTGAACCAGCAACTAGAAAAGCAGTCAGAGAGCGCAGACCTCCGCCAAGGACTACCCCCATTTTTTATATAAATTGCGATAAAATCAGTCTTCTGGATCAGATCCGGATCAGCCTTTGGAATATGAAAGAGGATCCCATTGTCCATCCCTGAGTCAAATTTCATGGGGTTTGGTCAATAATTAACCGAGATATTGAGAAACAAAATTTTTGGCCCCATTTACCTGTTAACTAAAATTTCAAAGTGATCCAGAATCCAGGATTTCTTCCGGATCACCCCCAAAATGAAATCAGTTCTTCCTTTTCACATTTCCAACAAATCCTGAAAATTTCATCAAAATCGGTCCATAACTTTTTGAGTTATGTTGCTAACAGACAAACAAACAAACAGACAAACAGACAAACAGACAAACGCCGGCAAAAACATAACCTCCTTGGAGGTAATAAAAGGATTCAATTGTAATGGCAATATTGAAACAAAATAGTCACTAGCTCTCTCATGTGTCAGAAGTGTATATTGCAGATCTACATGCAGATTGTGACCCACCTGAGGGTCGTGGCTCAGTCTTTGGGAAACACTGGTATAGGCCCTATAGGTCAGTTTTCAAGTGTCTAAATATTAATTAATTTGCATAAAATTTGGACCCAAATATTTTGGCCAGGTTCTAATCTAAAAAAAGTTTTTTTGGATTGCCCTATTCTACATGTATCTCTAATGCTGGAATGTTTAGGACACAATGTACACGCTACTAAATAGGGGAAAAAAGGTTTAAGATTGTCGGAAAACTCAAGAAAAAACACAAAATGGATCGGGAGCCTGTGATTTATACGTTTATGGTGCTGTTTAGGTGTTTGATTTTCAACAAAATGGTGAGTGCAGGTAATATTATGTGAAAGGGACTTTAACAGCACGAATCATCTCATCTGTTATGGTTCCAGCTAAACCAGCTCATTAAACTCAGATTAAAGTCTAACTTGAGTGACAGAGCTTCAGACAGAGCAGTGCCTACAGTTAGCGCCACACCCCGAGGTAATGTCGATGATCTCAGCTGCAAAGTATCCTTCCCTGTGTACTTGTGTGAAGGTTCAGGTGCACATAAAGACTCCAATAGCAGTGCAATCACGTCTGTTGTCAAAGTGTGGAGCCCGGGCAGACGTGTCCTACCCTCTTGTGTCTAATCAACTCCCCCCTCAGTTCACTTTAATGGAGAGGAGCCGCCACCAAAGCAGAACTTGGTCTTGTAATTACAGCGTGCCAGTGTTAGTGAGCGCCAATTAGCATCAGGAGCACGGGAGCTGATTGCGCTCACAGTTTAAAGTCAGACAGACAAACAGACACGTCATTAGCTCTGCCTGTTAGCCACATCAGCACCGAGACATGTACTAACGGAGACAATATCTACACGGAGACATCGACTCACAAAGAAAAATAAAACCAAAAGCTTTAAGAATCTATTGTGATTTGAAATATTGATATCTTTAGTAGTATTCAAACTATTTTTTAGTGAACTTTAAGCCCAATGCAACATATTATAAAAACATATAAGTCTACATAATTATACTTCTTGCAGTATAAATTTAAGAAGATATTTTAGAAGCGATAATACTGCCATTGTCTCATAGGCCTTTAGGTTCAGGTGACATGTGGCGCCATCTGCTGACAATATTTCAAACAGCACAAACTTATTTCAGAAGTTCATGGAGATTTGCATGTCTTAGGTTTTCATGTTTATTTTTGTGTGATTTTTGTAGCCTATTCGATTGATAATTTGTAGTAAGAAACTAAGGTATGTTTTTAAGTGTTAATACTGAGAAAATGACATTAAATGAGCTCCTGTAGTCAATAAGTCCGCAGTTGTGGCATGTTTTAAATGCTTATAAAGTCAGTAAGATTTTCCACAAAAATAATTAAATGAATAAACAAATGAGTGTCCTTTGTCCCATTGGGTCTACAGACATAAGCTTGAGTTCTTTCCTTGTCCTGTGAGCAGCCAGTTATAACATTATAATTTTGGCTGTATCTATTTAGGTGTAATTATAGGCTCCACATTCAGGCTAATGTAAGGCTAGAAAAGGGCCATGGCATAAAAACATGTGTACAGGATATAAATACTCTTGTTATGTCTTTTTTTAAAGCTACACAGCGTCTTCACTCACACTAATCATAGATATAATAATCCTGCTATGTATGCTATAGTAATCCTATACATCAGACCTGGGCATTGTACAGCCCTCAGGCCAGCTCGTCAAAACAATGCTATTTACTGCTTATAATAAAGAAATACACATAATATTAGGCAGAATTGAATTAAGCATTTTGGCCCGGCCCTCTACAATATTTTCTGTTTCTCATGTGGCCCCATGGAAAAAATAATTGCCCACTCCTGCTCTACATGCTGTACTCAATTAAGTTCAACTTCATTCTGGACAAACACAAATACACCTAACACTTAACACATGTAAATAAAAAATGTACTCAACAAAAAGAACTGTTACTTTAAAATAATAGTTACTCAAGTAGAAGTTATTTCTCATGCGGTGAGTAAATTCAATACTCTTAGACAAGGACTAAACCCAGAGTGTGGGGAAATGTCTTATGTTTTTTCCATGGGAATGTGTGAACATGTGAATGTGAAGAGTTCGTACCGAGGGAGATCTCTCGTGCGAAGGCCATGCACACGAGCATGAGCGGCAGTCCCACAGACACGTACTTGATGACCTTATCCAGAGGCAGCTCCAGCTCCAGGTGGGACACACGGTTTATCCCAGGATGCTCTGGGAGGAGGGCGTCCGTCAGCATGGCGTGAGCCGCTGCCTTGGCAATAGACATGGCTGACGTCGTCTACGAAAGAATCAAAGTGAGTTTCCTTGTATAAGAAGATGGGTAAGACTGTAGAGTCAAGAATGAACACATGGTGGATGCAGTGGTGTGGAAAATATCAATATTCAAAGGTGTTCTATGTTACTTTTCTAGTGTGAGGTTTGACTCAAGAGAAATGTCATTACCCTGCTTGGACTGTTCCACAATACGACTAAACTGATGCATCTTCCATTTATTCAATTACATGTGTTCATATCACTCTAGACACCACAGAGACCTGCTCGTCGCCATGGTGAAAGCAATAACATCTCCATGCAAATACGGAGGTGGCTGATCCTCCGCCACAAAATGTACACAGAGCATCTTTAATATGAAAACATTAATTTGTCATGACATGTCCTAAATATATTACTCAAACACAAGTACAAATTACTTGTAAAAATATTCCAGAGAAAGAGTATAAAGTGGTTTTATAGGTGACAGTAAATACTAGTATTAAACATCAGGGCACTAAAGGTGGGGCAAAACTTAGAATATATTCAAATTTAAAACAGGTTGTGTTTACTTTTTTGCATAAACTATTAACTATCTTCTAAACTCAACTTATTGCACATTTTAAATTGAATTTAAGGTTCCTCCACCTCCTCCAATAAGTCATGGCTTAGTAAATGACAGTACACAATATGAAAACTTCCTTTAAATTCATTCTCGCCTATGCTACTTTTTAACGAATCAACATTCAAATTAGATGAAATGTATTTACATATTTAAAACAACCAAAGTTTACCATGGGGCTGAACGACAGAAACTAGACTACTAAGAATAAAAACACAGTATACACAGGTTTTTCTTTTGTAATACAACCAGTAATGTCACTAACTCAAACCAAACAGAAAAGTATAGCCTTTAATAAGGATTTAAATTCATCATATGTGCCATCTTACCTGCGGGAGTCCACCTTTGCCCATGAATACGATGTGAAAATCCTCTCCTGGGCACCAGTCCTTGGAGGAGAGGGGTTAACCCGCTTAAGTAGTGAGGGCGGTCCAGACTGGTGCAGAGGCTGGTCCGGGTCTGGTCCGGTTCTGCTCGGGTCTGTCTGTAATTACAGTGGGACGTGTGGGGAGCAGGGAGGAGCCCACATGGTAGAGGATGGGACAGACCTCCGGTACACAGGGCAGCTGTGATCCACTTTAAACAGGACCACTGTGGTCTGTGGCTTTAGCGAACTCTGTCATTCAAAGGTTATTTATACTAGAAAGACTGGCCCAGAGTGGAGTTATATCTGTGAAAATGTGACTTCTGTAGGGAGCAGTACAGACAGTGGAAGAAATACTAGTATATATTGATACTTTTTTGTCCTAAAGGTGCAAAGGTGAGTAACTTTTGACACCTGCTTGTCTCAAAATGTTATTGCATTGCCTAGAAAGTCCTACAGCATGACATTAAACCAATAATACACTACCGGTCAAAAGTTTTAGAACACCCTAACTTTTTTTTATTGTAACTCAAGTCGTGCAAGTCTAATGAAGAGCTTGAAATGTTACAAAGGTAAGTACTGAACAGCCAAAGGTTAAAAAAAAAAAAAAAAGATAAATAAAAGATAACAAAACACAAGTCCAAGCTCTGCCAAAACTACCTCAGGAAAAAAAGAACAAAACAAAAAAAAAAGATTGTGAGCTTGAAAACATGGAGTGTCCAGCACAGTCTCCAGACTTAAACCCATTGAGCTGGTTTGGGATGAACTGGACAGAAGAGTAAAAGCCAAGAAACCTACAAGAGCCACACATTTATGGGAACTTCTGCAAGAGACTTAGGAAGAACTTTCTGAAGAATTGATTTCTGTTGTAAAAAGAACGAGCCACGAGTGTGTTCAGCTGTTATATCTGCCAAAGGTGGACACTTTCATGAATCAAAAGTTTAGAACACGTTTTAGTCAACAGGAAACAGTAAACAAACTATAAAAAGTGTGGTGTTCTAAAACTTTTGACCGGTCGTGTATCTGAAGAGAAGCAGGTAGCACCATCAGGCCAAGTTACAGGTCAGATCAGTGGAATGACAACTCCGCTTACAGTAAGAATCCATGTTTTTCAAGGTGTTTTTGGGCAATAAAATTACCCGTTTTGAAACATTTACAGCAATACTCTGGAATATTCCTGGCAAAGCAATAACGTCTTTACTGAGACAAGCAGGAAGCGAACTCTCCACCAATAAAGTTATACAGCGCACCTTTAAAAGTACAATGCATAATTCAGGTGTTTTAAATTGTTTGTTTTAAAACTCAGTAAATGCAAACTAAACACTAGTCTGATTGAATGAAACTTTTTTACCAAAAGTAACGTACTTATTCTAATTGTATATGGTATTTTTAGTAGATTTTTTTGGATTTTTCAAATTTTTTGGTCAGTTTAGTGGTAGAAGTTGTAAAAAAGGAAGAAATGTAGCTGTTAACAAAAGTACCACGATTTGAAATGAATGGTAAAAGTGACATTAAACACAGTGACGTATTAGACGACAGTAATAAATAGTCAGTGTAAATATATACTGTAATTAGGGTACAACTTAACAATCATTCAGATTCAAAATTATGTCATTTGCTTTATAATTATTCAGTTATGTGGTTTATTACTTGAAGGACAAAAGATTAAAAAAAACAAAATCTAAATTGTCTTGTGAGATTTAAACCATGTTATAAAGCAGTAACTTCATCAAAAACAGACCTGGAGTTGTTTTAGAGTTGTATCATTCATACATGTTTGAGTAAACCTTATTAACTTATTAGTAGAACCCAAATACTCTGTTCCACCTTGTGATGTCATGCAGAGGTACTCCCAATCATCCAAATGATTCTAGTGAAGGTGTATGGAGTTTAAAAACACAGCGGAGCACTTCCTGTATTACAACATGACATCACAAGGTGGAACAGAGTGTTTTCTGTTTGAGAGAAGAACTCCAGGTTTGTTTGTGATGAGAAAACAACATTAAAACAGATCAGAAAATAGCGTAATATGGACCCTTCAAATAATGAACAAAATCTTGGTCTTCAAATGTCATATCCCAAAAATTAGACCAACTAAATGATATTTGAAGGAGTGAGGGCCAGAAACACAAAGGTTCAAATGATTTCTCATTGTCAACATGAAGCTTTTATCATCGTGGACTTCAGAGTGGGAACAGAAACAGGGATCTAAATGTTTACTCACATTCTAGTATTGTTTGTTACACTGTAAAATATATTACTATGGGGAATATTACTCCTACAATCTGTTCTTGAAGAGTAAATGTAAGTCCATGTGCGTAAAGATGGACCATCACTTCTGTATTTGACATGGGCCTGTGTAATTAAATCTAAATGAAGATTAGAAATAGAAGGACGTTTTACTTTGTGTGGATTGTGCAGCTCACAGCAGAACAGAGGAGGAAGAGCTGAGTCCACACTTCCAACAGCAAACAGCACAAGTACATGTCCTCTACATGAGAATGGAGAGAGGGAGAGAGGGAGAAAGAGGAGAGGAGAGGAGAGGAAGGGAATAAGAGAGAGGGGGGAGAGCGAGAGCGAGGGAGAGAGAGGGAGGGGAGAAAGAGGAAGGGAGAGAGAGAGAGGGAGGGACAGAGAGAGAGAGGGAGAAAGAGGAGAGGAAGGGAGTAAGAGAGAGAGGGGAGAGCGAGAGCGAGGGAGAGAGAGGGAGGGGAGAAAGAGAAGGAGAGAGAGAGAGGAGAGGGAGAGAGAGAGAGAGAGAGAGAGAGAGAGAGAGAGAGAGAGAGAGAGAGAGAGAGAGAGAGAGAGAGAGAGAGAGAGAGAGAGAGAGAGAGAGAGAGAGAGAGAGAGAGAGAGAGAGAGAGAGAGAGAGAGAGAGAGAGAGAGAGAGAGAGAGAGAGAGAGAGAGAGAGAGAGAGAGAGAGAGAGAGAGAGAGAGAGAGAGAGAGAGAGAGAGAGAGAGAGAGAGAGAGAGAGAAATGGAGGCGGAGAGAAATGGAGAGAGAGAGAGAGAGAGAGAGAGAGAGAGAGAGAGAGAGAGAGAGAGAGAGAGAGAGAGAGAGAGAGAGAAAGAGAGAGAAATGAGAGAGAGAGAGAGAGAGAGAGAGAGAGAGAGAGAGAGAGAGAGAGAGAGAGAGAGAGAGAGAGAGAGAGAGAGAGAGTGAAAGAGAGAGAGTGTGTGAGAGAGAGAGAGAGGAAAGGGAGAGGGGGGAAAGAGAGAGAAATGGAGAGAAATAGGTGAGAAGGGGTGAAAGAGAAGAGGAAGGGAGGGAGTGAGAGAGAGAAGAAAGACAGAGAGAAGAGGGGAAAGGTGAGGGAGAGAAGAGGAAGGGAGGGAGAGAAGGAGAAAGAGAGAGTGGAGGGGAGAGAGGGAGAGGAGAGAGCCAAGAGAAAGGGAGGGAGAGAGGGTAGAAAGAGGAGAGGAAGGGAGAAAGAGAGGGAGGAGAAGGAGGGGGAGAAAGAAGAGGACGGCAGGGAGAAGGGTGAGCGAGAGGTAAAGGGAAAGGAGAAAGAGGGAAGGGGAGAAAGAAAGGAAAAGGATAGAGAGAGACGCGAAAGGAGAAGAGAGAGGAAGAAAAGCGAGGTGAAGAGAAAGACAGAGAAAGAGAGAGAGAAGAGAGGAAAGGAGGGAGGAGGAGAGAGAAAATAGAGGGAGAGGAGAAGAGAGAGAGAGATGAGAGTAGAAACGAGAAAAAGAGAAGAAAAAGAGCAGAAGAGAGGGAAGAGATGAGAAGGAGCAGAGGTTTTGGGCGTCCATCTCTAAACCAGTCGAGTCCCAGAGCCGTGGTGAGCAGTGGTGGGCAGTGGTGGGAGGCTCAGCACAGAGGAAGTCACACTAATATTTAGACGAGACTCTGAAATCGGAGGAGGAGCAAAGAAGAAGTGAAAAATGGACCATTACACTTTGTGACGCTGTAATGATTTAACTACGATGCATTTGTCTTCTTACTAAAACTTTTAGTATCGTTCACGACCTGATTTAACCCCATGTTCGCTTCTTGTTAAGTTTATCTGACCTAGTTTTTCTCTATATATTACATCTTTCTATTTATATATTACATTTTTGTTTTGTTTGGGCGTTTGACCTTTTACCCAAACCACAACGCTGCTCTGTGATTGGTTCAACCTCTGTGGCACTGGTGGGCTTTGCCAACAGAAGAAACAGGACAAAATGGAGTCTTGTATTTGCGAACTCACTGTCATGCAACCTTAATGGAGATGTTATTATAGCTTTGCCTGGAAAGTTTCACAGCAGGGCATTAAACTTCACTTATCACTATGAGCAGCGTAGTTTGTCTCCACTAGGTCTGTCACAATAAAACATTTTGAACTACGATAGATTGCTGAAGTAAATATAGACAATAAACAAAAATACTGAAACAAATAAAGCAGAATTATTCCTCAAATGTATTATAAATGTAGAAAATTGTAAAAAAAAAAAAAAAAAAAAAAGAACTACAAAAAAATTCAAAGTTCAAAGTCATATCATAATAATAGAGAAAAATTATGAAAAATGTCCAATTAGCAAAGGTGGGACCAAGTCTTTCTTTTGCAAGTCTCAAGTCTTTGACCTCAAGTTCGAGTCAAGTCCCAAGTCAAATACAGGCAAGTCTAAGTTGAGTTTCGAGTCACTGGCCCGTAAATCCAAGTCATGTCCAAGTCGTCTGCTTTGAGCTTCAAGTCATTTCAAGCCTTTAAACCAAGCTTAGATTTTTGCAATTTATATGACGTTTAAGATAAACTGTACCAAAAAAATCTTAGTATATTTGTATATGAGTATTTATAGAGTATATAAGAGTTGTAGAATTTAATTAAGTTAAGTTTTTATTTTAAATGTGTTGACAAGATCGTAGTGTGAATCATTACGGTCAGAATAGAAAGAATTCAGATTTAAAAGTGCTTCTCAAGTCACAAGCCTCAAGTCCGAGTCAAGTCCCAAGTCACTGACCTTCAAGTCCAAGTCGAGTCCCAAATCGTAAGCCATTTTCTCAAGTCAAGTCTGAAGTCCTAAAAATAGTGACTCAAGTCTGAGTCGAGTCCAAATCCACCTCTGACAATTAGTACAAAGAAAAGTCCTCATTATAAATCCTGACTCCCAAAAATGATTGTTTCATCTTTCATGCACTGAACCGTAAGTCGATGTAGTAATTATTGTGACAAACCTACCATCACCTGCTTGTCTCCCTGGTGATATTTAACTTTAATGCTTCACCACGGAACATTCTAAAGTTACATACAATAAGTAGAGTGCACTTTGAACAACTGAGACTTGAATCATAAACAAAGTCGTGGGACATCAGCAACATATCAACGAAAGCTCAGAAGAAATAAAAATAACACAACAGTTTGTCTGAATCCTTTACATGTTTTAATTATTAAAATTGGTCTATTGAAACACAATAGATTATGACAACAAAGTGTACAAATGAAATACAAATATCTTCTAGTAGAGTCTGTCACTTGTTCTGGAAGATCCATTTAGAAAAAGCAATGGGAAGATATGAATGAGCAAGGAACTTCACGATGAATAGTCAGGACATTCAATTTCACATTTCCTCTTTCACTTTCGGACAAAACAAAAAAGCAGAACTCCTTTCACAGTTTCTTGTAATCTGTTAAATTGTTGTCTTCCTGGGAAACCTTAGACATCGTCCGACTCTTTGTAACTGTTGTCCGAGCTGAGGTGAGTTCGGTGGGTCAGGATCGTTGAATTGCCAGCGTCAAGGTCAAAAACTGCTGAATTGCGAGCTTCCTCTTGACCAACGCTACAAAGGAGAGACTTTCTTGTACGTTCCTTCAGCTACCGACTGTCCTCCACCATGTCAAAATAATAGAATAAATATGCAAACTTTTAACACCAGAACGGAAATCCCATATACATACTACGATATAAGTGCGATGAGAGTCTCTGTTATGTTGTTTTTCCACTCATGGTTGAAAAATTGTCATGCTTAAAAGGGTACAATGCAGAAACCCACTTGTACTGAGAAGCACAGTTCAACCTGAGAAGCCTCGAGTCTTTAGAAAGGCCAGAATAGTCTTTCCCGGCGCTGGAAGTCGAAAAGAAATTGTGCAGACAAATACGTGGACAGAAGTGAGCCGTCAACTTTAGTCCTTTCTTTCTGTAAGAGTGAACTGTCAAAATGAAAGCAGTGATAGGTAGTCTGAATTAATAAATATTCTTAGTTTCAAAAAGACTATTTACTTGTTTAAAGGTCCTATATTACACAAAATTGACTCTTGTGAGTGTTAAGTCATGTTATAATGTTGTTACCTCATAAAAATCATACCTGGAGTTTTGTTTTTTTTCATTCACACAAGTTTGAGTACGATGCTTTTCTGTTTGAGAGAAGAACATTTGTGTTAAACTTGTGTGAATGAAACAAAACACAACTCTATGTATGTTTGTAATGAGGAAACAATATTATAACATATCAGAAAATAGTGTAATATGGGTCCTTTAAGATCCCAATCGGTTTTACAAAATACATTCATTTGATTTGTTCTGTTAGGTTAGTTGCTTTTTGACATGTTAAAATTAGATCACTGTAGTGTGTGCGTGTGATTCGTGTACCATTTGTTCTTATGAATTTCATTTAAGAATGAAAATCAGTAAAATGGGAAAAGAGGTTATTATTTCATTATTCCGTTTTAGTGTCAAACCAAAACAAAAAAACCCCCAAAAAACCAAAAACAAAACAGATTTCAAGCCCTATTTTCAATATTTAATTTAAAGTTTATTTCAAATAACACCATTTAAAAATGTTCTTGGTGCCTATTTTAATTTTGATATTTTATTTTCTCTGGTTCATTTGCCTTGGGAGTTCTTCTGTAGTGTAAACCATGGATCTATAATAAAAACTAATTTTTATTATAGTTCTGTGCTGTCAAGTGAACAAACTTTATCGCCTCACTGCTACCTGTTTCTCGTCATGGAGCTCAACTATTACTTTCTAGGACACAAAAGTAAACGTGTCGTTATAAAAGAAGAGGGCACAAACTTGCAACGATTTTTCAGTTAAGTCCTTCAGCAGCAGAACTTCATATAAATCAGAGAGATTAAAATATCCAAATTAAAATAGGCAACGAGACTGTTAGCTGAAATAAACTTCAAATTAAATATTGGTAATAGAGGCCGAGATCTTTTTTTGTTTGTTTGTTTGACACTAAAGCAGAATAATAAAATAACAACCTGTTTATTTTTATTTTATATGTTTTCGTTCTTAAGTGAAATACAAAAGAACGAATGGTACACGGACCGAGTGTGTGTCAGTGTTTTGGAAGTGAAGCAAATGAAAGTATTGTACACCCACAACACTGTAAAATCAAACATAAGACAGTTCTTTCTTGGTTCTTCAAGTGATGCTATGAGTTGAAGTTTAAGTGCTCCTCAGAACATCAGTTTGGGACAGTGAGGAGGACACTCTCTCAGTCGCCAATAGTGAGATGACATGTTTGGAAACTGTTCTAAAATCTCACAGAAATCTGCATTTTTATCATCTTTCTTTCTTGTATCAGGTCACTGCTGTGGAGTAAACATCAAAACTCATTTAAAATCACGTTGTAACATGCTGTTGATCGTCTGATTGCCAAAACAAGTTTAATATATAGAAAATGCTTCGAGAATTAGAATTACCCCCAATTTACACTGAAGGAGAATCAACAGGTGAGCGCAGCCTGTGCTCAGGAAACACTTTGAATATTCACTGGTGAGACAGTGTAGACCTGTAATGTTATACACGTGTGCAACGGGCTTACTTAGAGGTCGACTGATGGTTTTTTTTTCAAGGCTGATGCCGATATTGATTGTTTAGAATCCAGAGAGACTGATCAGCTATGCCAATAGTTTTGGGCTGATATGTAAAGTCGATTTAGATTATTATCTAGAGGTGTAACGATATCCAAGTGTCACGATACGATATCGTCACGGTATGAACTTCAAGGTACGATATTTATTGCGATATCGTGGGAAATCTCAAGATATAGTGGGGAGGCTCACAATTAGGGATGTAACAATATCCAAATCTCTCGGTACGATATTTTCACGATATACATCTCACGGTACGATATTTATTTTAAGAGTCAGTGGAGGCTAAACAGCTAAAACTGTTAATATGCTACTTTTTCTTCTTAAAATGCCTTGACAAACTAATCCAAAGAACTTAGACTTAAAAGTGCTTAGAACTGTTATTTCTTCTTGTAGTCTACACTGAAAGGAAGAAAAGGATCATGGTCTATGTAGTTCCCTCTGTCTTTTAGCTATTGCTGCACCATAACTCTTAATTTAAACGGTTCGATATATTGTGATGGTCCACGATATTATTGTGAGAACTTCGGCAATACAATATCACGATATTTCGGTTATTGTTACATCCCTATTATTTTCCCAAAATTATATAACTTAAATTGCCTATAAGTTCAGCCATTTTTTACCATAAATCTATACGAGAGCTGTGTAGTCACGGTTGTGCTGTTATTTCTTTGTACTTAACCGTTCAAATAAAGCTTTATGGATACTCTTTAGGCAGTAGGTCAGCCAAAAACAAAATAATGGCCTCTGTTGGAGATTTTTTTATATCGACAACCAAATATATCTCTAGACATACTTGTGTGGCTGTAGCTCCAGGTGTAAATTCGGGGTAATGCTGCTCACATGTGAAGCAACACAATTTCATGAACAAACAATAATTTAGACTTACTAATTCATTAAATGTTTTAGTAATATTTAAGCGTTTTAAGGGAAAACAGGGAAACTTCTGCACTTGACTCCTTCAACGCCACTGGAGAAACCCGTCAGGAGCAGCGGGTACCACAGCGCAACGCCCGGGGATCTACTTCTTGAGCTACGCCTGATTTATCTTGCTAAAAGTTAAAGACCAATGCAATTATTACTAAGAGTTACCACCATTTTTGATCACACAGGATGTAATGGCACCGACATACTCCTTAAATAGGCATAAAAATACATGGCACATCGGAGGAGTTAATGTATTCAGATGAAGCAGGATGACCTTTGACCTCAACATCAGTACCTAAAGTGTGAGAGCGAGTGCTTCTGCGTTAGTCAATGTAAAACTGCTTTAACTCATGTTGTTGAGTGAATGCGCCTTTAGAAAAGATAACCATGTATTTAACTCTCCGGTGTAATGATAGTCCCCAGATCCTTCATTAAACTAATATCACTCAAGTTAAGGTCACGTCTGTGTCTGATTGCGCTCTGTGTGAGAGTCCTGATGAAGCGTCGATCAAACCACGCCCTCGGATAATGTCAAGTTTGTCCAATCAGAGCGGAGGGTTCAGAGGTGAGAGGTGGCGCCCCCTTGTGTCCCTACTCGAGTGTGTCTGTGTGCTCTCTCCTGTCCTCTCTCGCAGACAGCATGTGCCGGCTCTGCTCCTGCTGCTCGTCGTCCATGCCCAGCTCGTCCTCGTCGTCCTCCAGACCCTCGTCCATGTCCTCGTCCTCCTCCTCTTCCTCCTCTTCCTCCTCCGTGCCGTCCATGGAGTCGTCGGCGGCGAGCATGGCCTGCTGCATGGCGAGGGTGGCCGAGTCGGAGGACAGAGACTGCAGACTGTCCATGCTCAGGGGGTCTGAGGGGAGACGGGGGAAATACGGGACGACATTTGAGACGATACATTTTCAATTCAATTCAAAAAGTTCATTGTTAACCTTCCACGCCTAAGGACAATTTTAGTACATTTGTTGTCGTCCGGATTTTGTTTTTAATTTTGCGATTAAAACTCCACTTTTTACCCCCTAATGAAATGTTATACATCCTTTTTTTCAGTACAACATGTTATTTCACAATCTGCTGCTGTAGTTGGGTCATATGGCTGCAATAAAAGCTATAGGACCAGAAATACAAAGGAAAAAAAAAAATAAAATTTTCGCACTCTTTCATACAAACCACTTTTTGGACATAAAAAATACTTAATTTAGGGCCTTAGGTGCAAAAGTGCAAAATATCAAGTCTGTAAGTAAACAAAAAATATTCTCATTGCCCTCAAAACAAAAAAAGTGCAAATGTTCCATTATTTTACTGGTGCCAGTCATGAAAACAGCTCATGTCAGGGCCAGGACACAGAGCGACATCACTTCCTGCATTACCATGGTGTATATTACATTTAGATTTGTACATTTTGAGCGAAATAAACCTTTCAAATAAAAATAGAAAGGGATTTGCCATTACGCAGACCAAGATGAATAATTTGCCATTTATTTGAGAAATAATTGCACATAGACCACAATCAACCATTTTGACTCACTACACTTGCTGGCAAAGTTTGGGCCAATCAAAATGGATGGAGCGCTTGAGTTTGGAAAAGCAAAATTCCTATTGGACACTCGTTTTCTCAACGTCATCACGCAGCGTACGTGTGATGTCAGATACTGTCGGAAATATGCTTGTAAAGCCGAAACTGTCTGCTATTCAAAGGAGAAAAAAGTAAGTTTCTATCTTTCATGGTTGGAAAGTTATGCACAGTTATGTAAAACATTTCCAAATGAACAAATGAAAAATTTAACTTATGTTCTCACTCTCAATCTTCTACATTAAATAATAATAAAATAAAAGGAAAAGTTCAGAGTTCTTCTTTAAAGGTCCTATAAAATGGAAACTGACTCTTGTGAGCTTTAAACCATGTTATAATGTTGTTGCCTCCTCAAAAAAATACCTGGAAATTCACACATTTAACCCTTTATAATTCATCTCTAAAGGTCAAAATGCTCTGTTCCACCATGTGATGTCAGGAAGTGGTAGTTTTCAGGTTAACAGCTCCCTTTTATCTTTTGTTCAATAGAGATTCCAGGGCTGAAATCATCCAAAAGATTCTAGTGAAGGTGTTTGGAGTTTAAAACAGAGTGAAGCACTTTCTGTTTTATCACATGACATCATAAGGTGGAGTGTTTTCAGTTTACAAGACAAACTTCTAATTATACAGGGCTTGTGTGTTAAACATGTGTGAGTGAGACCTCAGAGAAGTTACAACTCCTCCTTTTGTATCCCATGTATCTAGCGCTGTCAGCAGTACCGAAAATCAAACACTAATCAATACTAAATATTATTTATTACTGAAATGAACCAATTCTGACTAGATTTAGAATGATCTTGATCTTGTCCAAATAAAGTCAGTTTAAAACACAACTCTGGTTATGTTTGTGATGAGGAAACAACATAACATAGACCAGAAAGTAATATGGATTGGGCATAGAAGTGCCTGATTTGATAATTATGGTAAATCTACTTACGAATGCTTCAAATGCATTGGTAGATTGTGCTGCTGTAGCTTTTGAGTGACTAGTGGTGGTTTTCCTGAAATCTACGTGAGACCTTTCCTAACCTGACCTAGTTTGGATAATAATTTAGATTCAAGTGTTTTTAGATTAATTTCACTGAGCTTTACAGGGTTTGGCCCATTTGTGTCATGATTCAAAAGCCTTTTTTGTTGTTCGTGTTTATTACTTGTTCACCTTTTGACCTTTTGTTATCGTGAACATTTGACTCAACCTTACATCTCGTCTACAAGATGATACTGAAAGTGTTATTTAGAAACGGATAAGCACAAACCTGCAGTGTACTTTCAAACTAAAGATAATTATGCAATTCTGTGGCTCTTTTTCAGCACTCTTTCAACATTTCATCTAAACTAAAAAACATGAATATCACAGTACATTCATTTTTGTCAACACTCACCGTGAACCCTCAGTGAAAAAAGTGAAACAGTGCCATCAAGTGGTTAAAATCTGAACTCATCATAGAAAATAAAATATGATAAAGTGACAGTACTTATTTCTATCATCTAGTAAAGTAAAATCAGTCTTGTTCCAGTAAATGTATTGTAAAAGCAGCTATTGGGGTCAAAATAAACCCACTGTGTACTGTAGCTTTAGAGTTTTATTGAATCAGGATGTGCACTCTTGGCATGCTAGTTGTTGTTTACATTACTGTGACAAAAACGCATCTACTCTGGCCTCTGAAAGTTGCGAAAAGTGTTTAGAAACTCACTTCAGAGAATATTTAGGACGTCAGGAAAGTGAAGAATAAGTGTGGAGTAACTTTGGACCATTTCAACCTATTTAAAATGACCTAGTTCTGTTTTTCACATTTTAAGACAATAAAAATCAGGTACAGATAAATATTGGTGTGTATTTTTGTGTGTTCGCTCACTGTCTGAGTTGTTTCCAGCGTTGGATCTGTGCGTCTGTAAAACTCCGGCCACGATGGAGTCGGGCCAGAAGCGCTGAGTGGGGCGGTGCTGGGACTTCATCTTCTTGGCTTTGGGGGCGGGGTCTGGGTTGCTGGCGTCCAACATGGGCTGCAGAATACGCCGGCGTGCATTTATGAACCTGTGAATGAGAAGAGGAAGAAGAGAAGAGGAGGACAATGAGGTGAGGAGAGACAGTCTGCTCTAATCTTCTATAATTACAAAGATCAGCAGTCCCCAGCTTTATTTTATTATACACACATTAAGCATTTAATCCTCCTTTAAATATGCTTTGGTCACCTTGAGTATTTCACATTTTCTAAATTAATAATGTCTGCATTTGGAAAATATACTTTATAAACCTGACCTACCCCGAGGCCATAAGACTGTTAAAGCAGGATTAAGTCACTCCTAACTCTCTCCTCTTGTATTTTATGTATGTATTGTGTATTTTATGTATTTACTGTATGTGTTTATGTTTCTGGATGGTACATAAGAATTTCACTACACACTGTACAGCGTGCATATATGTGACAATTAGACTAAACAAAACTAACTAACCTAGGGCTGCTGGATTATGGAAAAAATTATTATCAGGATTATTTTGGCCAATATTAAAATCCCAATTATTCAAATTATAATTTTTTAGTTACACGATGCATTTATTCAGCATTTCTCTCTCTCTCTTTTTTATTGATACTTTACAAAAACTTTCAAATTGAAAATAAATATAGGCTACAAATATGTATCTTAGAGCAGTTTTGTGATGTATAAAACATTAAAAGGAAAAGAAAACTCACTTTGAACATGAAATAAGACATAGAAAAACATAAATGTATCCAAAATAAACTATATATCCAGCTGTTCTACAATCTTTATATATTTAAAAAATAAAATAAACATACTTCTTTATACAAAAAAAATAAAATAAAATCCTTAAATAGACTTGGTTAAGCTTTAATCATTTCAACTGGATTATATGAGTTTGGAGTCACACAAAAACAAAATTGCGATCAAAATTCGATAAATTGCACAGCTTTAAAATAACCTATGTTTCCAATGAGGCATTTAGATGTTAGGGAATGAACAATAGGAAAATACACATTTGAAGTCCTTTTCCCTCCATGAATACTACACTAAAAGAGCCATGCATTTGCTGTGAACAGAGTAAGGTGCTGGTTTATGGACTTAAAAACTGTGCAGAAGTCTGAAGTTTTGTCTATGACACAACAAACTGGGTAATATGAAAACGGAGCATTTTTAAGTGTTCAGAGAAAACTATGGATTAATACGTTCATGAAACAAGCGTGAATGAAGCAAAAATACAACCCCAGGTATGTATTTGAATGGTCCAAAAAGTAAATTTGGCATAATGTGTCCTTTATTCAGCCTCTAAGCATCGTCTCACACTGAGTACCTATAACAGTGCACCTGTGTTTCTCTATGCCTAAACTATCCTACAGGAACATTCTTATGGCTTACAGATATAAAATGTACTACAGAGGACTTTTTATATGCAAATACTATTCAATTGCTCTTGAAAAAAAAAGTACTCCCATACCCCTGATTGGGACACGCTGAAGATGAAGATGACAATTAGCACAATAACAGTTTTGTTTATTAACTATTATTATGAGGAACTACAGAATCAGACTATAGGAGGGGACAGTAGCTCAATTACTGTACATTAGTTTGAGTAGTAGTAGTGGTAGTAGTAGTACTTATACAAGCACTGAAAGGAGTTAAATCAAAAACAAAAACATGTTAAAGTCATTATCATAGCTGTTTCAAAATGAATGTTAATGCTAATTATTTTTTATGAGAACATACATTTAAACTCCACTGAAAGGCTTTGATGTCTTTGGCCCTTTCACATGTAAAACTACTGCTCTGTAATCTGTAATCAAGTGCATCAGAAAAGAATCTTGTTAAATTTTAAATAATCCAGAATAGGGCAGCTCGCCTGGCTCTGTGCTGTGTGAGCGTCATGCATCCTGGTTTACTGTTGAGAACAGATTTACCTGTTTTGTAAAAATGTGTGTACTTTACAAAGGCCATTGAGCCTGTTTGCACAGCTACTGCCCTTTAGTCATCGGCATGGTTTTAACACAAAACAAGCTTAACAGGGCCATTTTATACTTACACTGCCCAAGACTAATGCCCTTAAAAGAGCTGTTCTGTACAGAGCGATAGTGCTTTGGAACACACTCCCCCAAACCTTAACTGTTCACAAGCATGAACCAAGTTTTAAGAAAATGAAGAAGAAAGAAGTACATTGGAGATTGTACATAATTATATTTAGTCACTATTTGTTATTTGTAATTTATTGGATGTATTATGGTTAATGTTTATGATATAGTACATTAAGGAACAAGGACTGTGTTATGTGTGAACTTTCATAGTTATCGTAATGGAACATTTTATTGTAACTAGATCCCAGGAAGAATAGTCTTTACCCCAGTTAAGACTAATGTGGATCCAATAAATAAATCCATGAATAAATAAATAAATCCATAAATTAGGTTTCATACCACAAATATCTGATGTACTTAAAAACTTTCACCAGTAGATGGCAGTACTGTGCTGGGGAAAATATCTGATGATTCCCAGCAGCTCAGACTCCAGTCCAGACTATTACTCAAACGTTGCACATTTTCTGTGTTTAAATGTTCGTTTTTCCACATCGTCTTACCAGTTATTTACTTGCAACAGTGTAAGGCTAGTTTGTGCTGCGATCTGCCTCTTCTCGTCCTCTGTTGGGTAGGGATGCTGTGGGATAGACACACAACAGGTTTAAACAACTTCATACAAAAGCAATTAACACTAAAAAATATTATTCAAATGTTTAACTACTCAGATATATATAAATAAAAAAAACATCTGTAAAATACCATGTAGACATAATAAGTTTTGCAATGGTGATAATAATTGCGATATGTGTTCAAGAAGTAAGATTCAATTCAGAGTGCACATACTATGTTGTAAACAAGTCCAGGAGCATTAACATTTGAACTGGAATATGAACTGGTACAAAACACAAGGATCCCATGAATTTAAAAACATGTTTGTAGAGCTCTAAACTACAGGCACAATATATTTTTTTTATTTTGTAGGGATGTAACGATATCCAAATCTCTCGATACGATATTATCACGATATGCATCTCACGGTACGATATTTTTTTAGATATTTTGGCTGATATAATTGTAGAAAGGACAATCTTTTGCTTTTAAAATACCATGACAAGATTTTGGTGTGAATTATTTCCATCATAATCCCCAAAATTCAAGTAAAAAACATATTTCTTCATGTTGTCTGCACTGAAATGAATGATGGGATATGTAGTTCCCGATGTTTATAAGCTGTTGCTACTATAAAACCATGCATTTAAGCAAAATTTAATATATTGTGACAGCCCATGATATTATTGTGAGACTTCTGATGATACGATATCATGATATTTCAGTTATTTTTGCATACCTAGTATTTATTTTGTTCTTTACCAGATATTATCTAAATAATTCTTGCATTTTGATTTGATAATCTCATTAACTTAAATTGGGATTTTGATTTGATTACAGTGTACAACCCTTATGCCTAAGGTTAAAACTACTACTACTACTAACTACTAACTACTAACTACTAACTACTAACTACTACTACTACTACTACTACTACTACTACTACTACTACTGCTACTACTGCTACTACTAATACTACTACTCATATCTCATTAGTCTTATATAGCGCTTTTCCAGACACTCAAAGTCATGGTGGTAAGATAATATTTTAGCCTGAGCTGCCCTGAGGTAGACAGACTTTACCTAACTTACATGTACGAATGTGGTGTGTAAATCAGGATGGGAAAGAGCCTGAAAATTACTGCATTAAACTATGTAAGAGAGCATATTTATTTCTATTTTATTAGATGTTTTGAAACATACAAATAGAGGGTAACAGACTGGCATATTGAGCAGACGTTTGACCGCTCCGTCACACCTTTAATCAGGCCTGGAACCTTGTTGTGAAGTCTGAGAATGTTTAAAGTTGCTGTAAAAGTACTGCTTATGCTAATTTGGACCAATTCTCCAGGAAACCAGAGGGCCAATAAAAAGTGGTCTGAAACTGGCCCTAGGCATAACTATTGCTCTGCTGCTTCGACTCGATCTTTCCTTCATTTTTTTTTTAGGTTGTTTTTCCTTCCAGTTGGAGCTCTGCAAGTATATTGGTGTGTGTTACAGTTTGGTTTGATTACTTTTATAATGTTTACGTTGTAAGTATGGATGGTACAACACCTTGTGCCACAAAATCTCGCTACAAGATCGTGCACACATGAGAAAAATGACCTTGTGACATTTTTTAGTTAGTGTTTACATTTGGATTGGACAGAAAAAGGGTTACATATTAGTTGAGTTACATCTCTTATGGCCTCAACAAGCAATGCTAGAATAGAAACAAAAATATTATTTTTATATATTATTATTATTATCACTACAAGATCGTGCACACATGACAAAAATTACCTCGGGAGATTTTTTAGTTAGTGTTTACATTTGGATTGGACTAAAAGGGTTACATAGTAGTTGAGTTACATCTCTTATAGTCTCAAAAGGCGATACTAAAATAGAAACAAACATTTTAAATCCATAAAAAAAAAAGTGAGGCCAAATTGGAAACCAAATTGCCAAATGCATATATTAGGATTTAAGGTAAAATCTCACCTTGCGTCATTCTAAGATCTAGAAGAGTTCTAGATCTTGCGATTTTTTTGTAAGTGGTTTGGATTGGACAAAAAAAGGGTTACACATTAGTTGAGTTACATCTCTTATAGTCTCAAAAAGCAATGCTAGAATGGAAACAAATATATTAAAAACTGAATGGAAACAGAAATGGAAACTGAATCTCAAAATTTCAATATTAGGAATTGTGGACCCAATGTCATATCTGATCTCGTCTTGTGGAAATTGTTGTCAGTTTTTAGAAAATGTGTAATACTTTGAATTTCCAATAAGATCAATAAGGTACTGTATCTATCTATCTATCTATTAGTGATGTAACGATATCCAAATCTCTCGCTACGATATTATCACGATATGCATCTCATGGTACGATATTTATTGTGATATGTTTTTTATAGAGGCTAATATAATCGATAGAAATGGATACTCTTTTGCTTTTAAAATACCATGACAAGATTTTGTTGTGAATTATTTCTGTCATAATCCCAAAAATTAGAGAAAAAAACATATTTCTTCATCTTGTCTGGACTGAAATCAATCATGGGATATGTAGTTCCTGATGTTTATAAGATGTTGCTACTATAAAACCAAGCATTTAAGCAAAGAAACTTGTAATTATATATACCGTGACAGCCCACGTGACTTTTGACGATACGATATCATGATATGTGGGTTATTGTTACATCCCTACTATCAATGTATCTATCTATTTGACTGTCTTCGGATGATCTGACTTTACAGACTCACCATGAGATGTTGAAATAGCCAGGACCTCATGATGTTGGTGGCGTGTTTGGGCAGGACCCCCCTCTTGTTCTTGCACTTCTTATCTTCACTGTCCAACAGAGATGACAAATCCACATTGACCTGGAGTTACAAAAAATACGGAATGAACAAAAGAAATAAAATAAAGTAAAATATGTAGTATAGCACCATATCAGGAAAAAAGGACAACAAAAGCGGATGGCAGGCTGGGCTTAGTTATTGTTGCCACGGAAACAAAGGGAGACTACCAATTACCTATCTCTTTTTTCCTGTCGCAAGGGCAGAAACACCTCCTCAAGTGTCACCATGGTAACGGAATTTGAGTAATGACACTTAAAATATCGAGGAAGCAGCACCCTTGACTGCGGGGAACACAAGAGGGTCAGACGCCCTTTGTGAAAGCTAAAAGGGCATGTGACGGGTTAAGCATTACTTGGTGTGCTGGGGTAGTACCTGTGGTCAATATTTAACATAGTTTTACACCAGTTAAGGGGCGATTTTGGATAAAAGTTGATATGAAAAGTACACAAATACAGGAAGTACTGGTGAATTGGTGAAAAATAATAACAAAACACCTCTACCATTGTCATCAACACTGAAAATTCTATCCAAAATGCACAGACAATTTACGCATTATTCTGACAAAATGGCATTGTCATTTATTTAATCTAATCATAGCTATTGAGGAAATTAGACCAGTTTTGGGCTTTGTTGACATTATGATTGCTAGGGCTGGGTATCATTAAGAAGTTGCTGATACAATACATAGGGTAGGATACGATACATATCTTGATACAGTGCACTTTCGGTTTGATACAATATATTTCAAATCGATTTGATACGGTTCAGTAAAAACTAATGGCTAAATGATGGCCGTGATATTAAAAGTCTTTATTAAACCACGTCTTGTGCAAAGTTAATATGAAACACACCCATTTTAATCATCAAAACACTGAAAATGTCAAATGTGTCGCATAAATGAGTTGTCTTCCTCTGAACGAGCAACAAAACTGTAGCATTGTAACAAAATAATTAGTAAAATATACCGAAAAATACTCTTGGCCATATATTGATACAGCAGTCCCCGATATCAATACTGTATCATCACATTAAACGATACGATATGTCGTTCAATATCATTTAGATATTTTTGCACACCCCTAATGGTTGCAAGGTAACAGTTATGGATTAACCTGTACATGTCATATCTGTGTTTACCCAGCAAGCAAAATTATAAACTTCACCAAATTTTTTTTAAAAAGCTAGGCAATATTTTTAGTACAAAATGTATTTTTAGTCTAAAGGTGCACTACACAACTTTTCCAGTAGAAGGTCCGTTACCTACGTGCATCTCTGGAGGTGTTATTGCTTTGCCTGAAATATTCCATGGCATGACCTTAAACATATATGTAGCATTTATTCATTACGGGTGTTTCTGTTGCAATAATTCCTTATACAATATACAATAATTCCTTCAGTGAATAGGGTCGACTCTCCACAGATCTGAACTGTAATGCGCAGTGCAGGAACCTGCTTGTCTCCCTTGTGATAGATAGGTTTAATCTATACTGTGGAACATTCTAGACAAAGCAATAACATTTCCTTGGAGACAAGCAGGTGGTGAGATGAAGTATACGCACTTTGAGCGTACACTGTGGAGACCAAACCAAGTTACAGATCAGATCTGTGGAGAGGTAACCCCGCTCACAGTCAGAATGCCTGTTTTTCAAGGTATTTTTGAGCTATAAAATCACTTATAATAGAATAAATGTAATGTAGAGCTCTTTAATTGTTCTTTCATATTGTGGAACATTCCAGGTAGAGCAATGACATATCTATAGAAACAAGCAAGTGACAGACCCTCCACCAGAAAAGTTACACAGTGCATCTTTAAAGAACAATCTGAGTGAAAATGGGAATCGAGCAAAGTTCCAACGTAAACTTTGAAAAGACTGAGATGTGCAAAATGACTCAAGGCCTCACACTGAGAGAGAGGGAGCGATTTGATTTGTGAGCGGAGTGGGGAGGCATTCTTCACAAGTGGGGGCGCTAGCGGACACGTCACAGTGGCTATGACAGTTGGGAGCAGGCAGCGAGTCCATATGGAGCAGTGTTTGTGAAGGAAGACAGTCATTCATTGTGATGGCAGTGTCGGCAGCATCATAAACAATACTTCTGAGGAATAATAGAGCTGATGGCGCGCCAAAGGCGTTACTGAGTGGGGAATGGCATTTCTATACAAGCAGCAATATGTCTTTATCACAAGAGGAAGACTAATGGTGTCTTTCCTTTAAAGGGTCCATATTACGCTGTTTTCTGAGCTGTTATAATGTTGTTTCCTCGTCATAAACATACCAGGAGTTGTGTTTTGTTTCATTCACACATGTTAAACACACAAAGCCTGCATATTTAGGCTCTTCTCTCAGACTGAAAACACCTTGTTATGTCATGTGGAAATACAGGTAGTGCTCAGGCGTGGAACTGCCAATCTCTACTCAGCAAACAGTAAAAGGTAGCCATGAAAAGTACATATAACACCATGACATTACAAGGTGGATCAGAGCATTTTGAGCTTTGGAGATGAAGACAGACAAATAATAAAGGATACACAACTCCAGGTATGTTTTTGAGGAGGTATCAGCATTATAACATGACCTTAAGCTCACAAGAAATAGGGAATACGTTTGTACCATAGTAAAATGTTTAAAATCTACACATTTTTAATCACTTTTTTAAAGACAAATCTGTGTGTAGTTAGCCAAAAATGGTAGGAATAGGGGATGAACAACCATTAACAAACCACCATTTTAATTTGACTATCTGGTTACAATGTTTTCAAGGTTTAAAATCAACGTACTTGGTTTGACACTATGTTGTACTCAAGATAATTTTAGATCCTGTTACAATGGCAGAAAGCATCCAAACATTTTGAACATGCATTGTGGACATTTTGAGGTCTCAGATGACCTGAACAAGTTGGATGGTGTATGAAAGTGACAGACTAAAAGCATAAAATTATTCAATCTTTCCATACAAAACCATAACTTATAAGTGCAGTATTTTGAATGATAACGAAGGACGCGTAAGCTAAATTTGCTTCATACAGACGCGTTAATTTCTACACTCAATATATGTTCTATTATTATACTACTTCTCAATTGAAGCACTTAATTACTTTGTTAGATAAAGAAAGAGTAACTTCCTATAGCAACAAGCAGTCTACCCACCATCTGGAATATAAATAAGCACAATATGAATTCACAAAAATAATAATTGGATGCACTGCGTGGTACGAGACCGCCTTTGTTAGTCAATTATAGGAGAAAAAACAAATCTAAACCCTACGCCTATGTTTTAGATTTGTACAATTTTGAAAAAAAAAAAAAAAGAAACATAGTGAAGCTTTGTGATTGTGATTAAATTTGCGATTAATGTTTAAACTGTAGGATTCTGTTCAAAGTACACATTGTAAACAACTCCAGTAGCATTAACATTTGAAAGAAGAAATATGAACTGATAAACTAATACAAGAACCCCGTGCATTTCACAAGATGTTTATAGAAGTTTAAACTACAGGTACAGCAAGATTTTGTTCTTTGCACAGGGCATTCTAATATCTAATAGTAACCTTTTCCTTTTGATAATTGCACCAGCTCAAATTGTGCCTTTGAGTCAATTGTGATTAAAATAATTAAAAATAAAATTAGCTTTAACATCTAGTGTAATCTCCAAAACAAGAGTACTAAGTGACATCTCTGTGGTTTTGTGGTTAATTTTATGGCACAATCACATTTTGTGGTAGATTTAAACCTCTACCAAAACACTGAAACTGGCATGCACATTCCTTAAAGATGGGGTATTATGCAAAATCGATTTTTGTTGAGCTTTCTACCATGTTATAATGCTGATTCCTCATCAAAACAATCCTGAAAAGGTTTAAATCTCACTCATGCATGTTTGAGTAATCTAGTGATCTCTCCCATGCTCTATTTCAACTCTTCACGGGTAGCAGTAAGATTCTGTCCAATGCTCAGCCCACAAACCTACGTCATCCATGCTCCCATATGACAATTCTCCATAAATATACATAGGCTACATTCAGACTGCAGCCTGAAGTGACCCAAATTCGATTTTTTTGCCCCTGTGTAACCTCTATCTGATCTTTTAATGATTTAATCAGAAACGCCTAGACAGTCTTGTGTGATGCCATGTAGTACTTGAAATCTTGATCTTTTAATGACAGTCTGAACGACACAGATCTGATTTTTTCAAATGTGACCCAGGCCACTTGGATATGTGCTCCTGAAACTGATACATATCTGACCTTTTGACATGCGACTTCAGTCTGAACGTCCAGGTTGCATTCATACCACCTACACGTCAAAAATTTACACAAACGTTCTTCTCATCATACAAAAATTGTGTATGAACTCCGTGTCAGTGAAGCAGAGAAGCACATGTCAATCCCACCACTCTTGGCGGCGACTCTGCACCCATATGTTCCTTTCTACGGACGTTGCTGCCACTGCCCCACAAAACACGTGACCAAAAACCTTGTCTTTCTCCTTCTCAGTCTCCTCCTTAAATCAAATAAGCTGTACATGTTCTGGCTCCGGTACTACAGCAACTTTAAAATGGTCAGGTGCTCAATGCGTCCATGTTTAGGCGACTTCCGTAAACACTAAGCACTCTTGCTGTGTGTGACGTCGTCGTGTCGTCCAATGCGCATGCGGGACACTTTTGGGGCATTTAAAGTTCACACTGGAGATCACATACAAGTCGCATTTAATTGGAAATGTGAACGACCTCGCCAGAAAATCAGATTTCACAAAAAAATCCAAATTGAGCAAAACGGTACAAAAAGGTCTACAATTCTGATGTGAAAGCACTCTGAAGGGGGAGTGTCTTAGTTCAGAGAGCAAAGGGATTGGAAACTCAAAAGAGTGCCAAAAATGAACACAAAACCAATAAAAAATGTTGTAAAATATGATGTTTTTGGCGATTATAGCATTTTCAAAACAATACAAGGAGATTTAAATATGTGTTAGAAGTGAAATATCCCCTCTTTATAAACACTCATCCACATTCCTTATGGATTGTTA